ACCGCCGGCGGCGAACTCTTGCCCGAGATCCGTCTGACGCCCGCCGTCGCCCTACCCTGCGCCACCGTCCTGCCCATCGGCCTCTTCATCTACGGCTGGACGACCGAGAACCAGGTCCACTTCATCGTCCCCATGATCGGCGTCGTCGTCTTCAGCGCCGGCCTCATGGGCGTCATGGTACGTTGCCCGTGCCCTGTGCCTCCTGCCCCCCAGTGTACATGCCCACTAACGCGACGCGCAGATGTGCATCCAGAACTACCTCCTCGACACCTTCCCCCCCTACGCCGCCTCCGTCACCGCCGCCCTCGCCGTCCTGCGCTCCCTCGCCGGCGCCCTGCTGCCCCCTCGGCGGCCTCGAGATGTACAACGCCCTCGGCCTCGGCTGGGGCAACAGCCTCCTCGGGCTTCCTCTCCGCCGCCATGATCCCGCTGCCGCTCCTCTTCTACCTCTACGGCGCCAAGCTGCGCGCCAAGTCCAACCCCCAGCTGTGAGGGGCTTGGGCGGTTTTGTTTTGTTGTTTCGCTGCATGTGCATTGAAGCCCGTTGTTCTTTTCCGGCCGGCGTTGGGGAGGGTTACTGGGACTCAGCATAGTATAGACGGTCGCTGTCGGTAATTTGTAGATACTGGGTGGGCCGTAGCTTGCCTTCGAGGAGATTCAAGACAGTCTGAAGGATGCTAATTTCCTGATAAATACATGTGGCTCAAAAGTTCTGGGCAGAGTGTTGTCTGGGAAGTTGCTGTGTCGTGAGCGTGACTAGTGCTTCAAACTGCGTCATCTTCGAGTTCGATAATCGTATACAATATGAACATTCAATGCTGGAGAGGGGAATGAGTTTTAAGCAATGGAAATTCTAGTCTTACATACACACATCCTTTGACAAAAACGGAAGGACTGAGCAAGTATCCTTGCTGTACGAAACCACTTGAACTATGAAAGAAGGGAATCATTCCTCTGGACGTGCGCATTATGCTTCGTGGCGAAATGTGGTGCCTTAGAAACTACGGCCACCAGTCCTCGGTACAACCTTTTGCGATTGCTTGGCGTCCAGCTAGTCTTCACAGACCCCTGAAGGTGCCAAGCTGTACTAAGATTCTAGTTGCGGAATGGGGATCTTGTATCAAGTCCAATTGCTCGCTTGCATCAAAGCCCAAGACCCGGCGACTTTGCCTCTCGCATGTTCTTTGAAATTGGTAGCCGTGCCTTGTGTTTTAGCGACGAGTCTACGATGCTTACCTGGGTTTCGGCTGCTAGGGACATAGCGCATTATAACCACATACTTATGGCCTTATATGGGAAATGCCATATCGTATGAGAAAACTCACTTTCGATGTTGTCATACTAGGCACGACATGGCAACGCTTGGTCAACGGAGATGCTATACACTACGTTTCAATTTGGCTGCTTTTGTGTTCGTGGGTGACTGAAAATATACTTTCACCACTATCATTCATCCAGCACGGGCATTCCATGCTGGCAGTGGAAATGGGGATAGGCACCAGACCTTGTCAAACGCTTGGACAATAGGATGACGCGTGTGTCGTCACTCTTAGTTCGTGCCTCTGAGTATCTTTCTGTGATACGGGCAGCGACTGGTCCAAGCAGGAAAGGCCTTCAGTCATTCGATTGGTGGAACGATTCGAGATTCATTGGAAAGATGGCCATGGAGCTGCTTTGACTTTCCATATATTTGTCCACTAAGAACTACGGAGCGACTCCAAAGCCCTTTGGACCAAATTCTCCATCTCTCGAACGGTGCCCTCTTGCGTTGTCTGGCCCGTCATGATATACAGAACATTCCCCAAAACACGGGTGTGAATATCCCACGCCCCTTTGCCGTCGCGAAGGCCAGCCTGAAGCCTAGCAGCAGCCTTGCTCGTGTATCCGACCCCATCATCACTCCGCATGCTGATCGTAAGAACACTGCCCAAAGCCCAAGCGCCCGCGACCTTGTCGGACTGTCTCGAGAGGCTGTCGATGAACTCGTTCGACCACATGGACCAGGTAGTGCCCGAGGGCCCGGACTGGTAGCGGCATCTAGCGCCTTTCCACTCGAGTTCCTCTTGGCCCAGTCCCACGCGCCATTCTCGTCCATGCGCTGCAACTGGTCTAAAGACTCCACGGAGACCTGGCAGCCGACCGCGTGAGCCGTGTAGCTATGCCCATGAAGCAGCGCGTCGCTCTTGTCGTCGCTCGTAAAGGCGTTGAAGATGGACTCCGAGGCCAGTGTCGTAGAGAGAGGCAAAAGCCCACCCGTGAGAAGCTTGGCGTGAACAGAAATGTCGGCGGAGGTGGCGAGCAGAGATGATGAGCTGAAACGGCCAAGGCGGTAGAGGCCGGTAAAGACCTCGTCAAAGATGACGGGGAGGCCCTGCCAGTCGTGCTCGGTGGTGCTGGGCATGGTGGAGTTGCCGAACAGTTCAGGCGAAGAACGCACGACGTCGACGAGCGCTTTCTGATAGAGAGGGTCCCTGCTCAGTTGGTCAGCAAATGAAGGTTGGGGTGTGTGTGGGAGCGCAACTCACACCAGGATCATGCCGCCAGCGCCAAGAACGACAGGCTCCAGCATCAAGGCGCCGAACTTGCGTCCGCCCTGTTTCTGGAGTCGTTCTAACACGGAACGGAAATAGTTCTTGTACGACTCATATACCTTCGTCTGAGCCCTGTTGCCGAGATCGAACACATCGCTGAGAGATTCAAACTTCGCTCCATCACCGAGATCCTCCTGTAGCGCCTCCGGCGTGTCGACGACCCACTTGCCATCGCGGCACCATACACTGGGGTGGTCAAACCAGAAGCCCTTACCTTTGTACCATTCTACCTTTTCGTTGAAGACGCTCGGCTCCGAGCAATCCATGGTGCCGATGGTATCACCGTGATAGCTCCCTTTGAGGCCGAGAATTTCCATCTTCTCGGAGGCAGCCCAGCCGTAGCGCAGCCTGGCAGCGCGAAGAGCCATCTTGACGGCGACCTCGCAGCCGGTGCTCCCGTTGTCGGTGTAGAACACTCGCGTCAGCCGTGAGTTGCCCATGCCGTGGAGCAGCTTCTCAGCGAGAGCAAGGGCAGGCTCATGGATCGCCTCGGCGAACATGACGTGGCCGTAGCGACCGGCAGCATAGGCAGCGGCCAGTGTGAGGCGCGGGTTTCCGTGACCGAGACCCTGGGTCCACCAAGAGGCAGAGCCATCGAAAGCCGGTTGTAGCAATCCACTCTCGTTTGCGGGGGAGGGAGCAGCGGCGGGGGTCAAGACCTGGAAAAAGTCGCCATTGGCCGAATCGATGACGGAGATGCGGTCAGGCGTGAGTAGCTTTTGCTGGGTGAAAGGGTACCAGATATTCTTGCTCGCACTCTGAGGCATGTTCTCGAGGCGCGCAATGCGGCTCTTGCCCCGATGATCCAGGTCCTTGAGGACGGCGTGGGCAGTTTCGCTAGAGCTCTCGCGCTCGTAGTACGCTAACAGAGCGCCATGGTCGTACTGAGGATCCTCGTGCCGTTCTGGCGGGGCGGTGACCGTCTCGACAGGAATGCCTGCATGTTCTTGGAAGTAGTCCTTGAGGTACAGATGGTTCTCGTACGTTGCATTCTGAAAGAGCAGCACTGCCTCAACGTCCAGACCGCGTAATTTCAGGGACTCATACGCGGCAATGGTCTGTGAGATGCCTCCAAGCTTGGAGTCGCCGACGAGGACAGTAGGTAGTCGAAGAGGCGCATAGAGGTCGGCTTGCGGGGTTCCCGTCGGACCGGGTGAATGCACACCTCCGGCCGTTTCAAGAAACAGCCATCCAGGACCGAAGGCGGCGTTTCTGAGGGCGTGATCATGGATGGACCGCCGGAGAGCGTCATCTGAGGGAATGTCCTGCCAACCAGTCAGACCAAGCTTGGATAAAGCCGCAACGGAAGTGGTACCCGGCCGGACAACCTGGCTGCAGTATGCGGGCTGCACGGTACATCGTACTGCACGAGTGTCTCTGCAGCGACGGAGGGAGCGAAACGCTCGATATGTCTGCGAGCGTGGTCAGGCTGAGGTGACCCCGTCTCGCCGGACCTGGTACTGGGTACTTCTGCAGACCAGTTAGATTAGAACAAAATGGCGGATCGACAGATAAAACATACACGAACTGTCTGCCTCACTGGCCGGGCCCGTGGACACAGGCTTCAGGTAGGAGGTGCGTTCATGGTTGTAGAACTTGGTCGCGGCATTGCAGAGGATCGTTGTGAAGATGGTCTTGCCCACGTCCGTGTTGGCGCCGTACACCTGGTGCACGCGAAGGTGCCGCCACAACAGGCCAGATAAGGGTGCCATCACCAGACCTTGAGGCCAAAGGTAGAGGCGTCAATGGGGGGAGCGGGGACGTGTCAAGATGTTGCTTAGCTCCATGATGTGTTGAGGGGCATCGAGGCCCTTAAAAACGTGCCTGTTGGGCGAGGCTGTGCGACGGCTTAGGGAAGGTGATGAACAAGTACAGGGGGGTCAAACCTTCTGTGGCCGCTAAACCGACGGACGGCAAGCCACTTCGCCTTACCTCAGCAATTCCCTCAACATGTGCGACGGCCAGGCCCAGACCAGCATGCGAATATATGGGCGCGACGCAAAACGGAAAACCTCCCGTGTTCAGCTTCTTTTATTTGTTGAGTCACATCTTCCGCCGCGGGGTGCACCGTCAACATGTCCTCGTCCTCAAGCTTGGAAAGAGCTCTGAGGCAGCGGCTGGAGGAAAGGAAGTCAAAATCACAACTACGCCGGCTGACCTCCTTCCCCTCGACGAGCGTCGACTTCTCCTCCAACTCCTATCTCTCGCTCTCTGCCGTGCCAGAGGTTCAAAAAGCCTACATAGCACACCTTGAACAGCTGATCGCGTCGAATTCTCGAACGTCCATCCTGGGATCCAGCGGCTCCAGGCTCCTCGACGGCAATTCGAACTATGCCGAAGCGCTGGAACACGACGTTGCCGCATTCCACCATGCTCCTGCCGGTCTGCTTTTCAACTCGGGCTTCGACGCCAACGTGGGCTTGTTCAGTTGCGTCCCTCAGCCAGGAGATGTCGTGGTCTACGATGAGCTCGTGCACGCCAGCGCCCACGACGGCATGAGGATGAGCCGCGCCGCCCAACGACTGCCGTTCAAGCACAACAGCGTCTCCCCAGCGAGGCCCCACACTCTGGGCCATACTCCGCCAGCACGACAAAGCCTGAGTGAGATCCTCGTAGCATTGACCCAGGGCGCGAACGGTCGAGAGGTCAGGGCCGGGACGCGAAACGTCTTCGTCGCCGTCGAGGCCGTCTACAGCATGGACGGCGACGTTGCGCCGCTGCGGGAAATCGTCGACTGCATCAAGCAGCACTTGACCCGCGGCAATGGTCGGCTCATCGTTGATGAGGCGCATTCGACAGGCCTCTTCGGCCTGCAAGGCCGCGGCCTGGTGTGCGAGCTCGGGCTCGAGCGCGATGTCTTTGCGCGCCTGCACACCTTCGGCAAGGCTATGGGGGCTTCAGGGGGTAAGTGCTCTCTCTCTTCCTTTCTTAGTTCTGACCCAGAAAAGCCGAGTGCCGAGCCTCTGGGGAGGGGGGTGTGGATCCACCGACGCTAACGAATCACGCGCTTCCAGCCATCCTCTCCTGCGCGCCGGTTGTCAGGGAGTACCTGATCAATTACGCGCGTACCTTGATCTACACGACGGCCATGTCGCCGGCGAGCTGGCGGGCATCAGGGTCACGTACGATTTCGTAGCCACAGAGATGGCCGACGAGTTGAGGCGGCGGTTGAGAGAATTGATCGGGTACACGCACGGCCTCTTTGTGTCCATCTGCGCACGCTACGGCGCGGCCCCGCGACCGCTGGTGCGCATTGATGCGGGGTTGCCCTCGTCGCCCATTATCCCGTTGTTGACCTCGCATCCGCGCAGTTTGGCGTTGTACTGTCAAGAACGAGGCTACGTCATCCGTCCTATTGTCGCACCTACAGTGCCGAAAGGCAGCGAGAGGGTACGGGTCTGTCTACATGCTGCCAACACGAAAGAAGAGGTCGATGGTCTGCCCGCGTCGTCGAGGAATGGGTGCTCAAGACACAGAAGGAGGGCCTTCAAGAGACCCAACCACCAGTGCAGAAGGCTCATCTTTAGGTGACAAGTAGTCGCATCACGGCTCGAGATTTGGCTTTGCAAGCCGCAATCAAAAATTCTTGTTGGAAGCATTAGCTTGTCGCACTCTTTCCAACACAAAAGAGGGATGGTAGACGTGAGAGACAGGTGGGCCAGTATTGGGCTCTTGACGCGATGTGTGCAGGGCGGGGTTGAAAAATTAAACTATTCGCAGCCAGAATTCAATCGAACATGGAATGCATTTACCCCTATGAGACGAGAATGACGATGTCCTCTGATGCATCCCACTTCTTACGCACGAGATCGATGCGGCAAGGTGAGTCACCCGGCACCGCAGGCTGATAAGGGGCGTTACTGTAAGGCTGATGGAAGTCCGCCCGTATCCCAAAAAGGGGCTGTACTCAACACGAGGCAGCTGGCGGGGATTCCTCGACTCATAACGGTAGCCCCTTGGAGGCTTCCTGGAGACATGTTGCATATTTAAAGATGGCAAGGGTTGGCACTGAAAGCTCGTCCGGGACCCTCTAGGCACAAACTCAATTAGCACATGCAAAATCATTGAAGGTCAACGCCACAATGCGGCGCCCACAGCTCCTCACACCGACTGAATTAAGCAGGCTGCGCGATCGCTCTGACGAGAATGACAAGCTAGCCACGTGCTGGGACCGCAAACATGTCGGCATTCTTCTGTTCGATTACTCGGCCCCGCCCATGAGCTATACTGGCTATCCGATGCTCAGAGTCTCACTTTTGAAAAGAGGCGTTTCGAAGACGCGCCATGCCTCAGGCTGGTGCGAGTCGGAACGCGATTTCACCTTTATCGGCAACCTGACGGATGCTCCGCCGCGAGACTACCACTACGGCAAGAGCTCCACATACGAGCAGCCAGCTGCCCTGATGAGGGACAAGATTAAAGCGATCCTCGCCGAGTTGAGCGAAAGATACGCCACGCTCTGTCTGTGTACTGCACGGCCGAAGCAATTGGCCCTGGGGCTGCAGAAAATTGGCCTCAAAATCCCGAAGCAGTTCGTGGTTGTCGATCTGGTCAGGGTGCTCGAGTTCCAGGCCGTACCAGATGTCATCAACAGCGTGCTGGCCGGGGAGGAGGAGTTCGCGGCGCGGGCCAACGACGGGGAAATCTGGACTGGACCGGGGCATGGCGCGGACTGCTCGCTAGCCTCGGTGTTGCTGGCGCTCGTCGGGCCGTTAGCGAAGAATTACACCGGTGACTGGAAGAGGATCGAGCGGGAGGCGGTGGCGGCCAGTCGGTTGTTGGGTGGAACGGGACTCAAGGTCGTTGGCGAGATGAACAAGATCAAGAGTAGATCGTCGAAGCGAGGCAAAAGAGAACCAGACGCCTGAGCTGCCATGCGATAGACCTCAAGCGCCTGGAGCCATCTGCCAGCATCGGTCTCGATAGATAACCACGAGGCATGGGCCGGGCTCGTCCCGAATGCAACGTCCGTTGTCGATCTGTGATTGCTAGTTGGCCTAGTCAGCTGGTTGATTGGGTTCAGAGATCCAAATCAGCCAAGGGAAACCACTCGGCCTTTCGCTCCGGATGCCGACATAGGTCAAGGCACGAGCGCCATCGGTGTCTGGGGTTTGATGTGTTGGATGGCGCGGCGGCCACCCACCCATGACAGGTCCAATTATGACTGGCGATGCTGTTGCCAGGAATGTCGTGATGGGCCGGCACGGCTGGCACGTGGGATGATGACTCGAGATCTGTCGAGGGGGAAATAGGTGAACCAAGCTCCCTATGCTGTAGAGTGCTTGGGTACCTAGGTACGGCACCTTTCTGACCAGTGTTACCCCCCACCCATGTCGAGGCAACGCCCGCCGAGTGGAGATAAGGAAAACGGCCCGGACATGGGGGAACTGGTCCCCGCCTGCATTTTAGCAGGGCCAATGGAGTGAGCGGGCCTCTGTAAGGCGTTGTGGGCGTGGGGTCAGTGGAAGGATCGGGGGGTGGATTGGGGGACATTTTGGGGGAGGGAGGAAGGACTGACAGGGGAACTGACTACTTACTACTGGGCCCTGGTAGCACTTCCCAGGGCGCTTCGACCTGTGAGGCAGGCACCCCTCGGCCGCCCCCCCTTGCCCCCCCCCCCAACCTGCCTCGCTCTCTATGCGGGACCCCGCGTTCCCACCCGTGCTTGCCCTGACTTGTCGGGTCGCTCTCGCCTGTGACAGGACCGACGGCGCGAGCTGTGCTCGCCATTCTTTCCTCATCTTTCCCTCCACTGCCGCAACTTTACCTCGCCTATTCTCCCGCCTATTGCCTGACCCCCCAACCTCGATCTCGACCTCGCCCTGGATCGTCTCTCCCTCTTCGGCTCCCCGCAGCAGCCCTATCGCTTCGAGATTCGCGGCAACTTTCATATCCATCATCGCGACGACATTCGAAATGCGCGACTAGGGCGCTGGTCATGGCGACCCACCAACCCCAGTCGGGCGGCGCGCCCTCCGCTCACGGCCACCCAGGACCCTCACCAACAGACGAGGGATCACCAAATCCTCCCGAGTCGTCCAAAGAGTCCACCACCTCCAGCTACCGACGCGCCAGTCGCAAAGGCGCCGTAAAGAAATTCAGCTGCAGCTTTCCCGGTTGCGACAAATTATACTCTCGAGCTGAGCATCTCCACCGGCATCAGTTGAATCGTGAGGCGTCCCCACCCGGCTTGGAAACGACTGTGACCTTCACGCCTCTGTTGCGCCGCCGTTTCGATTGACCGAGCCCGCTTGACTGACATTGACTTGCAGATGCGCCCAAGGAAATCTTCCGTTGCGAAGAACCTGGCTGCGACCAAAAGTTTGTCCGCGCCGATCTCCTCGCTCGACATAAGAAACGTCACTTCACATCCTCCTATATACCCCGGAACAGAACCTTCAGCTTCAAGTCATCACATCCTGAACTTGCGGCCACTTCGAGCGCACCAGCAGCAAACATAACATCCACTGCCGGGTCTGCCCCGCGAACGCAGTTCCCGTCACATACCTCGAGTGGACCTCACGATGCCGCCATCTTACTGACGCCCGACTCGGAGCCGGCCCCACGACTGGTTCAGCCTTCGAGCTGGCCTCCGCCGCAACCTTCCATGCACGGCTTGGACGTGAACATGGGGTCGAAGGCGGCATATTATGGAAGGGAGGCGGTGACCATGGCCACTGAATCATCAACCATGTTGCCCTTCGACAACGGCTTTCAAGCGGATGGACATCTATCCGAGAACTTCGCTATGTGGCTTTTTGACGCCCAGGCTGGCTGGAACGAGCTGAACGCTGTTGCCAACATGCCGTTTCTCGAAGGCGGCTTGGAGTCGACGTTCAACAACAACATCAATTACGACTACGAGTCACTGACAAGCCGCTCGCAGCCAGATCCCACGCCGCCGCGCCAAGAAAATGACGACCTTCTCACGGAGCACCGTCGAGAAGAGATTTTGTCTTGGTTCCGGCTATTCCGCAGTAAACAGCCCAAGTACGAGGCCTCAATCACCCGAATCGTACAAGAGAGCGGCGGTGACGTCCCCGGCCTCAGTCTCGACATGATGCGACATTGTCTGCACACGTACTGGGTCGATGTGTCCCCGCGGCTGCCTATTGTACATCAGCCGACTTTCTCATGCAACCGATGCCCCATTTTCCTCGTCATGGTCATGCTTGCACTCGGCGCTGCATCTCTGAGGGCTCGCGACACGACGAGCACATACGTCGAGTACGGGGGTTTCGCGGACGTTATCATATCGAGCGTTCGCTGGGAAATCGTGACTGCCGAAGACGCCAATCCGCCTGTGGCTCTGTGGGTGGCGCAGGCACTTCTGCTGCTCGAATACTATGAGACGCTGTTCTCTTTCCGCAAGTTCCATGAGCGGGCGCATATCTACCACTCCGCGACCCTGACTCTCTTGCGCCGGGGCAGTCCCCTCATCGGCAAAGCGGGCAGTGAGTCACCGCCTGAGGAAGCGCCACCGTCGGGTGAAAATGACGGCTCGTCAGACTCGCGAACATGGTGGGTGCGCTGGGCTGAGACGCAGTCCATGCATCGTGTTGTTTTTGGAGCCTTCATGATGGATATCATCCATGCCACCATGTTTGGCCATCTCGCCGACATGGCGCCGGATGAGATCCGCCTCCCTCTACCGTGCGATGACAGCCTTTGGGCGGCGCCGAACCCCGACAGCTTCCGGAGCGTTGACAGCACGTGGCGTATGTATGGCATCAAACAGATCTCTTTCCTCGAGGGGCTCAAGTCTGCGCTTCACTGCAACCCGGTGAAGACACATTCGTTTGGTCGCATGATCATCATGTGCGGCCTGCTCAGCGTTGGCTGGCATCTCTCTCATCGCGACAGCCAGATCAAGTGGCTCGATCGCCCCACGCGCACATCTGAGCACGACACATGGCGAAGGACGATCCTGAAAGCTTTCGATATTTGGAAAGAGAGCTACGATGCCGATATTGGCCTGTCCGAAACCAATCTTGGGGAGAGCCATGGCAGCGCGAATGGGCCAGTTCAGTCACCATCTGTGCTCTACCATTTCGCCCATATTGCACTTCAAGTCGATATCGTGACCTGCCAGGTCTTTGCGGGCGCAAAACGCCTGGTCAACCGTAAGATTTCGACGCGCGATTACAGCAACGCTGTTGCGCGTATGAGAATCTGGTCGAGCAAGGCCAGCACGAGACATGCCGTGCTGCACGCGTTCAAGCTGCTTCATCGTGTTCTGGTGGGAGGTTCCCGCCGGGGGTCGGGGTACCCTCCGCTCCAAGACGCCTGGTATTCGTGCCGCAACGAGGCAGACCCCCACCGCCCGTGGTCACTTTACTACGCGGCATTGGGTATATGGTCACTTGTGCGGGCGTTGAACGGTGGGCAGGCACCGCCGCCATATTCGGGACCATATTTGAGCACCGCTACGTATTTGACCCGCATCGCAAACCTCTCTGAGCTCACAGAGGAGACGGCAAGGGGGTTGGGTGATGGATTGCCTGACTTGCTACGATTATTGCAGGCGAGCTTTGAGGATGCGCATGCTGAGCTGCTCCATGAGGCGGCTGAGCGACTGAAGACTTGTAGAGAACTGCCTGGCTGGGGCCGGGACATGACGGGTAGATACACGAGGGTGGG